TCATAATTCATTTTCTGCACTGAGTTACAATACAATTATTAGAATACTTGAATTAAAATTTCCAGATATGATGTTTGAAGAGAGGATAGAAAATACATATTGTGAAAATAAAAAGGAGCATTACTAAGAACAGTCTACTAGTAAAACTGCAGCGCAAAAACACATTGAAATTTGTGCAGTAGAGAAAATGTTTTCAGAAATGAAAATAAGTGATAGAAGTACATATACAATTATAATCTCAAAAGAAAAGTAAATGACAAAATAATTAAAATGAAGAAATAGGATGTTTTATAGTTCAAGTTGAATTCTCTCATATTAACCCTCCATCTTGAGTAATCTACACTTCACTATTGTAATGACAACAGACTAGAGCAGGTAATAGTACCTAAAAGATTGAGCAACAGAAAGGATCTAAATATTTTTATGGACTGCATAAATCATAGAATCATAGGACTGGAAGGGACCTCGAGAGGTCATAGAGTCCAGCCCCCCGCCCTCAAGGCAGGACCAAGCTCCGTCTACACCATCCTTGACAGATGTCTAGCTAACCTGTTCTTAAATATCTCCAGAGAGGGAGATTCCACCATCTCCCTGGGCAATTTATTCCAATATTTGACCACCCTGACAGTTAGGAATTTTTTCCTAATGTCCATTCTAAATCTCCCTTGCTGCACTTTAAGCCCATTACTCCTTGTCCTGTCCTCAGAAACCAAGAGGAACAAATTTTCTCCTTCCTCCTTGTGACACCCTTTTAGATATTTGAAAACCGCTATCATGTCCCCCCCTTAATCTTCTTTTTTCCAAACTAAACAAGCCCAGTTCATGAAGCCTGGCTTCATAGGTCATGTTCTCTAGACCTTTAATCATTCTTGTTGCAAATATTGCTTACTAGTCAAAATGAGGTTAACTGCAAAATCTAGCTGGTTAATATTTCTGAGGTGAGTTAGCTATGGAGGGATGTAGTCACACCACTGATATAAGTCTTTATGTTTATACAGTTATTCTGATTTGTGTTCAGTCTTTTATTACAGGTCTAACTATAATTAACAGAAATCTTAAAATAATTGTTTTTAAAGATGACAAATTCATACTTACATAAGATTGTTGTTAGTGAATACAGCAGATTAAGTGAAACTCTTTTGCGATGTTATAAACTTGCTTTAACTTATTCATAATTTTCTGAATAAATGATTTTGGGTTGAAATTTTCAATGCATGTTCTCAGATGAAACATTTTTTGAACGTTTTAAGGAAAATGGTTAAACCATTTTTGAGCTGTGTGAGGCAGAAGAAATATTTTTTCCCTAATGAAAATAAGCACACAGTTTTTTCCTGATCATCCTGATAGCACAGAAGGATGTTGCTGGAATAATTTATATGGAAAAATGCATTTTTTTCATATGACATACAGACAGAAAATGTCTTCTGGGAAGGATGTGCAGTTTTTTTAAAAAAAAGCACAT